TTAAAACAAAATAATGACAACCATTTTAAAAGTATTTCAAGTTTTGAAATTTCTCTATATAAAATGATACAATTTAATCATTATTTCATTTGTTCTGCATTTCAAAGGAGAAATAAACCATGAATTGTCAACCATTCCTAAGGAATGGAAAATGAAAAAAAAAAAAAACTCACCAAAGACAGGGCAAAAAAGTCTATGGAATTTTGAGTAGGACAGACAGTGGCTTTAGTGCTCAGCACTGGAGTCTAAAATTCCCCACAACAACCCACAGCAAACAAAGCCAATCTGCCCTCCTAAGACACAGATTACTTTGACCTACCAAGCCCTAACACAAGTGCCTGGCCCTTCAATGCTAAGGCAACACCATGGTCTATAAACAGACTGGTGTGTGCTCTAGTTACCTTGGGGTGCATGTGGCCAGGAGCCTCAAGCTGTCCTGTAGTAACTTCCAATGACAAGCATCTTTCCCTCTTAGCTTCTCCACACTTACAAAGCCAAGGATCTTTAAGTGGTTTGAAAGTACGTTGCTGCATTGGAAAAAGTTATACACCTTACTAGCCTGTGGAGAGACAGAAATGCTGCTGGCCCAGGGTCACTCAGGTTTGGAGACAGCAGTGAGCAACCTTTTAACTGAAAACAAGCATACTCAAGTCCTCTCTGTGACCAGTAGCTAGGACAAGGTGAGGGCCCAGAAGGATCCACAATGCAAAGGAGGCTTGTAAGAGGCAGAGGCGGACAGGATGGTCCCCAGTGTCACCTACCACCTACCTGGAAGAGTGGCTTGTGCCCGAGTAGTGGAAAACATTTTCATTAAGGGAACAAAACTCTCTTCAAGATTGCCCTGTATGTCGTTGAATATGAATATATTTTAATCAGAGAACTAGTTTAAGCAATTTGCTGTGTAAAGCAGACTTGTATTCCAACCACACTGTTTCTTCAGTAGGTTTTTCCTAATGCAAAAACTAGCTATGCAGTTACCAAAGTAAGAGAAACATATTTCTTTTTAAATTCATATCTTACAATTATTAAAGCATATATGAGAAAAGGGACATACAAGGGTGCACTCATTGCTGCCATTTCTTTCTGAATCAGGCATGAGTACATTTCCTGTGCCATCCGCTTTGGTGTCTATATCATCTTAATGTGGATTAGGGTTAGAGACTTAGGGTAGCACACTTGTGGCCGTGGGCATCAACATCGCCTGTGCATCGGTGAGAACCTACGCTCTCTGCCTCCACATGGACCACATGCTCAGCAATGTGTGCGAAGCCCCCCCAAGAACCTATGCTATACACTGACACTGAGAGTGACTGGGTTAGACCAAACTATACTTAGCAAGTTCAAAGCTCCAGATGCAGGTGAATTACTGGGTCCACTGTCCATACCAGGCCTCACCCATACAACTGGGACAGTGTGTACAACAAACATCCAAACATTTTTGGATGTACTGAAGGAAGCGAGGCCCATGGGTAAAACTTAGGGCAATTTTAGAGAATAATAACTGACTCAATATGATACCTTCAATTAGGAAAGTTAGGATATGAAATTATTTTTTATTTTTCAAAAATGTATGACAATAGTAACTTTTTAACCATAATACCTTTCTTTCCCAGTTGGCAACTACTTAAGGTAACTCAGGAGTATAACATGGTTAAGAGATGTTTGTCATATACATGCAGTAAGTGTTCCTGGTGAGATTTTATAATCTAAAACTATAAATCAGTGTAACACACATCTTGGTGTCTCAGTTTTTAATTTCTAATTTGGCAAACACCAGAAATATAACTTTGTGGGCACAGTATGACTATATTCTCTGAAGGTACAATTATAACAAAACATGTAATAAAGTTATTAACAATGATAACTAAGTGATTGGATAGTACCTTATTAAATCATTGTTGGGGGTGAGGGGTGCTGAGGTTTCTTTTTCTCAAGCTTTCCTTAGTGTGATTGTCAGTTGACTTCCTGTTACCTGCAAGATGTATGCCACTTGGCCACTTTTACAGCACCATGCCTGCCTGCATGTTACCACAATACCTGCCATGATGGGCTAAAACTCTGTGAGCCTCCTCAATTAAATGTTTTCTTTGTAAGAGTTGCTGTGGTCAGTCTTTCCCAGCCATCCGCCATGGTGGATGGATGAAAGGCCTGAGCTAATGGGGTTAGCTTGTTAAACAACTGCAATAAAGCCTCTTGCTGTTTGCATCAAGCTTTTGCCGTAAGCTCGGCCTGGGCTGAGATCCTGGGGATCTGAGCCTCCGGGGGTCTTTCATTTGGTGCATTGTTCGGAAACCGAGACCACCCCTCACATGAGTGGATTCAATCTCGGAGGTAAGCGGGTACCCTATTCTGTCTCGTCTACTGTCTGCTGGCTGTCTATTCTGTAAAAGCGCTTTCAGTTTTTGGTTTGCAGTTGTCCTGGTAGATGTGCCCGGAGGATCACAGACTGCTGCCTTAGGGGACGTCCCAAGAGGATTGGAGACCCAAGGACACTTGGGACCCTCCTCAGATAGCGGTGATTGTAGCCGCCTGGTTCTGCCGCCCGTATGCCCAGCGCCATTGCCTTGTAAGCGGCGTGGACGGATTGGGTTGGCGTCTGTTCTTTTCTGTCTATTCTGTCTCTGTCTCTGTGTGTTTTTATCGTTGGTTTTCAATTCAGGATCCACCACGATACCCCCTTTGTTGAGTCATGTGGCACCACACAAGGTAACTTTCTTTTTTCTGTCTTTGTTTCTGTATGGTTTCTGTGAAGCCTGGAGGGGAACAGGCAGTGTGACTGGCCAGTTAAGCAGGTTTTTTATCTGATCTGTTGCAATCCAGTCTGCCTGCCTGCTTTTTGGTGCTGGCTTGGCAGATCCTGAGCTGTATGTTCTGTGTCAGTTTTGTGTTTTCATGTCTGCTGCCTTTGTTAATTGTGTAAATGTAAAGGTCCGATGTTGGGTTCACTATCGAAATCTGTAAGGGGACCTTGGGGGTCACCCAATCTGTAGGAGGGGGAACATGGTAGGACCAAGTTGCCTGCTCCATCTGCAAGGGGACCCAGGAGGGCGGCCCAATCTGTAGGGGGTAACTTGGTTATGGACCAAGTTGTTCCCCATGTGGCTAGTCATCTGAAATTCTGAATAGGACCCTAGTGTAGTCAGCATTGTGTGTTTGTTAAGCCTGTCATTGTCTTTTATCCTGACTCTGGAGGTCTTTCAGAACAGCTGTTGCTCTCTCTCTGTCCTCTACCACCAATGCAAAGCTGCTACCATCCCCTCTGTGAGATGTACACCTTTACCTCAGATGTTAGAGATGCCAGAGCCGTGGGATAGCCACTGAGGAGAGCTGCTGACGGGGAGTGGAACCAGCCCAAGAGAAAAGAGTGTGCTGCAGTCAACAAAGCTGGATGGAATGGGAGATGTGGAGATGCAGAGTTTGGTCCAGGACTTCCTCACTATGCTCTCTTCCCTGCATTTTGGGATGGTAATGTGTGTCTTGCACCATTCTATGTTGGAAGTATGTGATTTGCCTTTTTGATTTTGATTTTTTTAACAGGTGATTAGAGTTAACAGGTTGCCTTGCATCTCAGAAGAGACTTTGGAACAACAGATTCTAGGGACTTCTGAAGCGTTTCTGTATTGTGATATGGCTATAAGCCTTTGGAGGCCAGGAGTGGAATGCAGTGGTTTGAAAGGACATGGCCCCCAGGGGGATGGCACTATTAGGAGGTGTGGCCTTGTTAGAGTAGCTAGAGTCTCACTGAGGAAGTGTGTCACTGCAGGTATGGGCTGTGAGTTTTCTTTTCCCCTCAAGCTTTCCGTGGCGTTACTGAAAGATGCTGTATGCTTGGCTGTCCCTGCCCGCATGCTGCCATGCTCCCGGCCATGATGGCCTGAACCCCCGAACTATAAGCAAGCCCCTCATCTAAATGTTTTCTTTATAAGAGCTGCTGTGGTCATGGTGTCTCCTCCCAGCAATAGTAAACCCTGATTAAGACATTCATCATGCTTTTTCCAGAACTTGATGGCCTGAGAGCAGGACTGGCTCAACATCACAGTCTACCCATTTTATTTTCTGAAACGAAGCAAGAAGTAGATGATACAAAACAAAACAAAAAAACTTTGTTTTTCTTTATTTTAAGACCCGGTCCTTGTAGCCCAGGATAGCCTTGACTCTGGATCCTCCTGTCTCTACTTCCTAAAGTGCCAGTGTGTACCACCAGCCTGGCCAATCTCTTTTACAGTATCCATACTATATTTTTTTAACATGGCTCCCAAGATACCAAAGAGAACCTATATTACCTTTCAAAAGATGATTTTTTAAAAATCATTGATTTGGGGAAATGCATAGATCCAAATTGTTTTTAATAATTTATCTTCCATTTTAAAAGGTTTAGAAATGGCTCCAACTTAGGAGTAACCAGGAGACACACAGCAGCACCTGAGCACCTGAATCTTAGAGAAGCTGGCTAGTGCACAGTCTTCCCAAGTTTTGTTTATAAGAGCAAAATTTAGCTCTTAAACAAGTATCTAATTATGAGCTGTTTTCTGTTTTGTTTTGGTTTTTGTTGTTGTTGGTTTTTGTTTTGTTTTGTTTTTGTTTTTGTTTTTTTTTTTTTTTTTTTTTTTTTTTTTTTTTTTTTTTTTTTTTTTTTTTTTGTGTGTGTGTGTGTGATGACAGTTACCCTTGCCACAGGATGGCCAACCCTCAGCAAAATGTCACTGCAACAAACAGTTTGACCTGACTGGGGTTACCTAGGGCTCCTGCACACAGCTCAGCTCATGCACTGGCATCAGCTTGTGCCCTCTGGCGGCAGTGAGGGTCTTGAAGTGTATCTGTGAGACACAACCAAGAAGGGTGCAGCTCGATGGGAGACAGGCGCCCACGCCATCCTCGGTCCCCAGCCTGGGAAGCTGAGTGGTTAAGAGAAAGCTTTCATCAAGTGTTCAGACACAGGGTTTTTATAGATTCTTCACTCTAACAACCTGAGCTGGCTTTTAAAAAGATGACAAAGTAAATGCAACATTTGATATAGTTTTTATTTAACTTGATAAATGTAGAATGGGATGATTTCAAGGCAAATTCTGGATTATTTTAGCCACAATCCACAGTTCACATGATTCTGAAGAGCAGTCTTATCTTCAGTAACTACCCACCTCCACACAAGCATGTCTAGAGAATCCACGGACAGATATATTAATTTTCAACACTATCATTTAGATTTCCTATTTGGACACACTTCAAATTTATCTGCTTGATGCAGGTGCCACAGGAGATGAAAATTCATGCAATGATACTTGGGTTCTTTTGTTTTTAAGTAAATCTATCATTTGATAATTCAATGCTATATAAAGCAATTTGAATATCTAAAATAAAACAAATGCCAATTATATCATGAATTAATAACATATTTATTGTCTTGAAACCAAACAGGCCCAAGTTCCTTTTTATCTTCTTTGAGTCAGTTGTCTAAAGATTTTTCCCTCTCAAATTTCCTATGTAATAAAAAACCAAGACACTTTATCTCCTCTTGGCGATGAACAGAGATGGCAGAAAGTTCAAGGCAGGTATGCTCTTGATACCTCGGAGTCGGACAGGGCTTCTTCTTGGGCAGAAGGCTCGTAATCGCCTGTGTTTTCCACTAATTCAACCTCTAACTCGTCATTGCTTTCTGCACTGTAATCAACTTCTTCAAGGAATCGAGGTTCATCTTCATCCAAAACATAAGTGGTAGGGCTGCAGCCAAAGCACAGAATACACAAGGTTTCGTGAGACCCCAGGCTTGGACACACCACTTCACATGCATCAACCTTGACCCCAGTAACAATACAAGTAGCTCATATTAACTTGGAGATTATCCAAATGAACATGGTGAGAGGTTTATAATAGTTGGAAACTACCAGTGTCAGCAGTACAGGGTGAAATGGTAGTCTCTAGTGATACTGCAAGTGCCCACACACAGCATATCATCAGGCAGAAGAGAAGTGGATTCTCTCAATGCTTACTCCAAGGAGTTCATCAACATACACATTTTGAAGATTTACTTTAAGGTTCTATTTTACTTCCTGTGTATCAGGCAATGAGCAATTCCAACAGGGTCTGTGTGAAATTGAGGCACCTCACCACCTCCTGGAGAAATGAGTTAAAGCCACTGAGATCTCCAGAGCGAGCACTGCTGTGAAATGGTCACAGGCACATCCCCACCATGCCCACAGATCCAGAATGAAAAGGAAACACGTCACTAGTCGACACCCAGACTATTTCCCACTAGGACAGAGAATGAGATATTTGTTTAAAGCACCACGCGCCTGTGTGCATTTCTTTGTGCAGTGTGTGAAGGATGAAACCAACTCTTCCATTACTGCTTCCTATTGCTGGGAATTTACACACTCACATCACGGAAACACTGCAGGGACAATCCACACACCCTCAAGCTGTGACCAAATCAACCCGAATTTCATGTGTATGTTTGCTTACAGGCGAAGCAACTAAAAGCAATAAAACTGGACAAAAGAGAAAACCATCTGTTCAAGTAGGGAGGAGCACAGGGTCAATGGGCCCTGGAGATGAGAGCACCCACAGCTGAGCATGGAATCCCAGGCTCTGATGAACATTCTTCCTCCAGGAAGCTTTATCCTGGCAAAAGAAAGTAGGGGGGGGGGAACGACTACAAGCCATCTTACTCCAACACACAATGGATTTTCTCTTAGAAGTTCAGATCTTTCTTGCCTGGCAGTGGTGGCACACACTGTAACTCCCAGCACTGGGGAGGCAGAGACACACAGATCTCTGAGTTCAAGGCCAGGCTGATCTACAGAGTGAATTCCAGGACAGCCAGGGATACCCAGAGAAACCTTGTCTCAAAAACAAACAAACAAACAAACAAACAAACAAACAAACAAACAAAAAGGAAGTTCAGAGCTTACACCTCATACTGCAGTCCAGAAAAAGATGATGACCAGCTTGGAAAATGAACGAAACTTAACAAACCCAACATTTACAGGGACAATTCCCAATTTTTACTATGAGATTTAAATACATAGTTAAAAGTTTCATAGATAGGTCTTTATGGGAAGAAAGACTGTAAAAAAAGATTGTTTTTGAAATGACTGTTAGTATCTTTCTTGCTTTTGAAATATAATAATCCATGTCCCCTTGTCCTCAGTGTTTCAGATAGTCCTAAAAGTCCCAGGTGTGCCTTAAGAGGCTGAGACACGAACCAAATGAAGAGAAGAGGCAACCTCCAGGCACATGCTTGTTTAGCCCCTGCTGCAGCCAGCCAGAGAGGAGCACCACAGAGCTGACAGATAGCCAGAGAGGAGCACCGCAGACTGACAGCCAGAGAGGAGCACCACAGTGCGAACAGACAGGCTGCTCGAGGGCAGAGGACAGGGCAACTCCAGGGAGGTGAGGCACAGAGGCCGAGGCAGTGCTTCCCAAGAGGGAGCAAGGCAACAGACCCCACACGCAGGGGGCAGTGCTGAAGAGCCCTGGAGCCAGCAGGCGTAGTCCACTGGTCACCGTGAGAACAGGGGCTGGAAACAAGTTGGTTGCAAGGGGTGGGGTCAGAATAAGGACTGATTGTGTGTGTAAAGGTAGGTGCCAAAGTTCATTAACTGGAAATCTGGAAAGGTCTGAAGGCCAGTCTTCTTAGAGCTGTGCATCAATGAGAAGACAGACAAGAGAAGAGACAGAGGGACTTGGCTCCCTCAGACCAGAGGGCAGACTCCAGGAAGCAGAGCATGAGGTGGGCAGCGCTGCCCCACAAGCTGCTTCCCTCCTGGCAACCCTGGTTCACTCATCAGTTTGGCACAAACAAGCCAAACTGTTCATGCTGACTCCTGTTCAGTGAAGAGAAAGGAAAGAGCAGGAACACAGCCACTTCTACTAGCTGCACCCACAGCTCACCACTGCCATTCAGACTCCTGTCTCCACAGATCCTGAGAATACTTCCACAGCCATTCAGACTCTTGTCTCCACAGATCCTGAGAATACTTTGCTCCTGGATCACCCTGGGACTGCAACACTAACCATCAAGACTGACTGTGAAGGGTGAAAGGGGACAAGGGAGTGTGCCAGGGAGGTGTGCAAGTCTCCATACTGCACTCACCCCGCCCTCACAATACATTCATGCTGCCATTTGCACTGGCTGCCTCTGCTGTGGAGAGAACTCCCACTCTTCCATTCTGGCTGCTTTCTCACCTCCCTGTTGCTCAGTGAACAGCATGTGGTACTTCTGCCCCAAAACAATGCTGGTAAAGACCATTTGGTTCCCAGCTCTCCATTCACCACGCCAAATGAGCACACCCATGGCTAAAGTGCATTCTCATCCGTTCCATATGCAAACATGCAACCTGACTTCACCAAAATCTTCTTGTACATGCCTGGAGTTGCCAGAGACTTCGCATGGCTGTCTCACCTATACCACAAACCCTGCATGTTGAAAACTCATTGTTTTCCCCACCACATATATTCCTCTTGCTTATTCTCAAATCCATTCACTCAGGAAGACACACAACTCAAAATTCGCCAGAAGAAAAGTTAGCCTTAATCTCCAGACTACGCCAAGCCCTCATGTTTTCTGACAAGCCTTGGCCACTCTGTTTTTCTCTGCACAGGGTGCACTTCCCACTTTCTCCTCCTAATGGCTCATGTTTCTTTCAAAAGCACAGCTTAGCCTTATCCTCCTCAGTTCTCCCTAACACCTTGGGGTGAGTTCCTCTGCCCACATTTCCTTTGCATGCTACACTGACATCCCCTATGACCACCACAGGCAGCTAAAGCCACCCATTTCTGTGCCTGTTTTCTCAATACTAAGCCAAAGCTCAGGAACCATGACTTACCCACCTAAACACCTCCTGTGGTAGCACTTTCAGATACTTCAACAACTGTTTCCTGTATACTTTATGAATGTAAGAATGTGACGTCAGAACCCTACTGCCAGCAGCCTCCCCTCTCAGAGACACCTTACAGAAACATGGTAATTCTCCCTGGCACTAGCAGGCTTCTAGGTGCCAGGGTTTCTTATCTGGACAAGTTTACATTTAAAGTTTACATTTAAGGGGATATTTACCAGTGGCTACACCTCCTGCTCCTCACTCCATCTGTGCTGTGAAACAAACCACTTCCATCCTCAGCAAGTCCTAAGTGGAGATTCCTGCTTCCACTGTGGGGACCAGCTTCTCTCTGCAGAGCCCCACTATACTGACCGTCTCTGGGGATGAGGCCTAGACTCAAGCCCACTATGCTCTTTTCTTTCTACCCGCCTTGGTGGGTAGCTCTCCTACTCGACATCCCCAACAATCCATCTCAGTTCCCACTGAGCCTACACCTAAGACCTGCCAATACAGAGCAAGGAGGCTCGCGGGATCACCAATGCTCACATCACCCCCTCCCCCATTCTGCTTTAGTGGGAAAGATTTACGGCACAAGGCCAATCACACCAGTTCATTTTCATCTGTTGATTCTGTTACATGTTTTGTGTACTTTACAACTTAGGAAGAACCGTCACATACATTACCTAAGATACTCACAACCACCTTCCTTTTCATGGAAAATGCATGTGTGTCACTCTGAAATTACTTTGACATAATTACAAGCACGTGCAAGCATACACAGAGGAGGTTAGATGAGCTACTGTACAATACAGCTACCCAAAGGACATCTATTTGGAAAGAGAAAGAAAGAGAGGAAGAAGTGACTGAGGGGAGAGAGGGAGAGGGAGAGGGAGAGGGAGAGGGAGAGGGAGAGGGCTACTGGATCTGGCTTGGACCCTGGACTCAGCTCCAGCTCTGAACCAGTCAGTCCTCAGAGAAGAGAGCCAGATGGCCGTGCCACCCATCATGCACAGAGCCACAATGCTGCAAAGGGCATCATCTGGGATTTTACTTGTACACTCAGAGGAGGGCAGCCACAATGAAGACCGTGGAGTTCAGAGGAGACCTTCTGTGGGAACCATCACGTGATGGCACTCTGTCATTCTGAACTACAGCTGTACCATAGATCCAGCTCCAATTGTCCTCAGCAAAACACTAGCATCTCTGTGACAACCAAGCATGACAGAAACTCAGTACGGGCAGACGAACTGGGACCCCAAAGCCCCCGGAGTAGCAGGTTGAGAGAAAGAGGTGCACACAGTGGAGCCCACACTCATGGCTCATTGCAGAGAAAGGATACAGAGCAAAGTCAGCAAGGGAAAGTATGGGGCAAAGCCCAGTGGGAAGCAGGGCAGAGAAGGCAGCTGCCAGGGGCAGGGTGTGTCATCAGAGCGCCAGCAATTTCAAAGGACTGCAAGGGAAAGCCGGAGTTCAGAGCTGTCATGTTTCCTGAAAAAACGGAGTTGCAGAGAGGTGACCCCAACATTCAAAAGTTTTCCTAGAGGCATCTGACAAACTGTTAAATGACAGTGCAAGAGGCTAAGCAGCAAGACAGCAAGAGGCAACAAGAGGCTAACTCAGACAGACACAAAGGCTACAGCAATGCTTTGGCAGTTTTGTGACACCAAGGAGAGGAGGGGTCCTGGGCCTTCCATTGTGACCCCTGTGGTGTTGCCACTGGGAAATCCAGGAAGGGTAAACCTTTTCACATTTTTTAAAAAAACATTACCTCAAGGCAGCTCAGTAGCTCACTGGGTTGGGGAGCCAAGCACTACTCCTTGTAGCTCATTTGAGGACAAAGGAATCCTCTGATCCTTACATGACACCTGGCTGGCATCTGAGTGAATTGACAGACATGCCAAGAAACACAACCTAAAGAAAAGCCTAACAGAAACAGCTCTAATGTGTCAGTTACCACACGGGAACTCTAAAATAACTGTGAACTCTAAAATAACTGTGATCCCAACAAAAGGAATGCAATGAGAAAATGCAGAAACTGAAATCATCGACTTCCAGCAGATACAGACACACACACACACACACACACACACACACACACACACACACACACACACAGAGAGAGAGAGAGAGAGAGAGAGAGAGAGAGAGAGA